CGCAATTTTAGTGGGGGACACAGAGTGTAGACATTTGGGACGTGAACATACTTATTTATAGTCGTTAGTCTGCCCGTAACAAAATTCGACTTTCCTTTTAATTAGATGACCTTCCGATGGAAAAAATTTCAGTTGCGGCTCGTCATTATTTAACGAATCAAACGACGAACAATAAGAAACTTTTCCATGGTTATAACATAGACGCCATGCTATCAATCCATGTGCATATAGACTGGTACCCGGTCGACAGTTTCACACGCTACACTACGTGAGTGTAGCAATATGCCGGAGTAAAGGTGGCAAACGGGTACCAGTCTACTATGCCTATAGCCTCGGCGTTCGTTGCGCCGTCTATCGCACGTCATATGTACTACACTGATCAACGAAAACAAACAAACAACAAAGTTCAACTGCGTTTTTACACGAAACCAAGCGCGCCGAGTAGCGAACTTCGAATTAGGAGCATTTCTAGGAAATGTCCTGCTACCTAGGTAGTGAAACCCGTAGTGCAATGGCCAGAACTCCTCAATTCAGCGAAGTTGGTGCTTGCGTTATATATGTAAACCGTTTAACCGTGTAAGGTGATGTTGAAGGTGCAGCGAAATCGTGTTAGTGTTACCGTTTGCGCGCTTCGCGCGGATATCCGGGCTGCCGATCGTCAAGAACAGTAGCCCGGAAATGTTAAAAACTTGGGTTTCCGGAACGGGAAAAAGGTAAGATCTGCATGGTAACTCAACTTGTGATGCTCTGGATCGAGATATTCTTAAAAATGCGATGCACTGGAAAAGCAAACGCGCAGTGAAATGGGAGCAACTAGAGTTTATTTTGTCATAAGGTAGTGTGATTATGCATGACACGAAGTATTTGCTAGTCTAGTACTGGAGAAATTAGCGTTTGGATGCGCATTGTGAGCCTTTAAGGTTTACGTTTTGCTGATGTTTTAAAACACCAGTGTATAGTGAATTCGTGGGCAATACATCTGAGATGTTTGTATATTGACGGCTAGTATCCATACATGAAGGTACCAACATCGAATATGATGAGGTATCAGCCGTAAAGAGTAATTAGAACTGAGCTCCATGAGTTCTACTCCATGGTAGATGATTTATTACGATGTTGGGTAAATGAATGTGGCTCGTGCACAGAGAAATCGGGTGACACAACATTTGTACACGGCAGATAGAGGAATCTCTACACACACACGTTTCCTTGCACTGTCTTTCATAGCCAGTGATTTGGTCTCAATTAATATATATGCTCATAACATTTTTATTTTAAATTTATTCTAACTCTTATTCTGATTAGGTTGTTTTGTAATTATTTCAGTGCATGCATGACTATGTGCCCTATAGTACTACATGTGTGATCATTTCATCACATATGTAATTTTGCTATAAAAATATCTTATTAAAAGATCTATAAGAATAAAATGAATTTAGTTACTTGTATTTTTCATTTAGTGTTATTTTGTTCTTCATTTTTGTAGGTTATTATACAAAAATTATTATTTTTATTTTTATTAATAATTAATAATTAATAATTTTTATTTTATTTTTATTAATAATTATTATTACATTATTATTTCATAATAATTTGAAGCCTACAGAAATTTTATTGTTTGTCTTTTTGATAGATAATCAGTCGACTCTTACACTACTTAATCACCGATATGGCCAATGAGCCAGTGCCTCTAGACAGCAGCAGTGACAGTGGTAGCAGCTGCAGCAGCGGTGATGAAAACAAAGAGCGGGGAAACTGGACTGGGCGTTTGGACTTCCTCCTCGCCTGCATCGGCTATGCCGTTGGCCTTGGCAACGTCTGGCGCTTCCCGTACCTTTGCTACCGGAATGGCGGAGGTGAGAGTTACAAACACATCGCGCCTCTATATGATTTTTCTCCTCTTGTTTTTCTATGCCTGTGTCTCTGGCTGTCTGTCTGACTGACTGTGTGACTGACTGTCTGACTCGCGCTCTCTCTCTCTCTCTTTCTCGCTCCCCCTTCTCCTTCCCTTCTGCCTTTTTTCTTTTTGTTCTTTCTTTCCTGCCTTAATTTCTCTTTCTATCTCTCTTTGACTCACCCCTACATCTCTCACTCTCTTGCCTTCTTTCCACATACAATTTTAAGTACTGTAGTGATTTCAAATAAAACGAATTTCTCTGACAGCCAAATGTTGGTTCACCTCCAGTGGCTTTAAATCTTAAACACATTAATGTTGTTAGTGATTGTGCCACTACTGTAGGTGAAGGTCATAAATATCTAATTTACCTACTTTAAAATGTGATTGGGATTAATTCTTTTTTGAACTGATGATGACTAACCAACGATTTTTTTTATTATAATCAGTCAGGGCTCCCTCTGGATGTTTTAAAGTTTTAGCATGGACTTAATTGCCATCAAATTTTTTTGGCTACCGATAAAAAACGATAGCCACTGTTCACTATACCATATGTGCTAAGCAAGGCATAAGCAGGTGATGGGTGTGGGAAAAGAGGTGTACGAAAACATTTCATGACACGACACTACAATTTGACGATTTCATTTGTCAATCAGAATTTTCTGAGTTGGAAATTCATTTGCCAGTTGTATTTGCCACTTAGTGTAGTAATATCGCCACTGTTATTTATTTATTTATCGCATTTTGCGAAGGTGGCGAATGCCAGCGGTAGCCCTGAGCAGTGGCATTACAACAGTCCTCACTATGCAGCTTCACACTAGACCCTGTGGTTAAAAATTCTGTTGATGTATGGTTATTAATTTATTTTAAAACAGATATCACTTGCAAGAGTAATTTAAATAATATCAATAAGAGTGGAAATCGTGGTATCTAGTGTAATCGATAAAATGATGTGCGAACACTGAAAGTAAATTATTAGAGATGTGTGGTGATTAACTATTATAATTAAATTTTTTGTACGTTTTGTGACTTTGTCCGAAGTACATTCTGACAAAAAATAACTTTGGCAATTGGATTATCATTTCGTTGGCTCTGTCTCTTATTATGGTCCCAATTTGTATAATGCTTACATGTATTTCCTGCTACCTATATTGTCATTATTTACACTTTATTATAATGTATTTTGTATAAACTCACGGGTTGTGCAAGTACAGTCCGACCTCCTTTATCCGGCCATCCGTTATCCAGAAATCTCTATTAACCGGCCGCGATCTCGCAGTGTATGTTCTTAGTTTTTTCATTCATTTCCACCTAACAATCTCGCTCAAAATTATTTCAAAGCTCGCTCAAAACTCGC